ATTTCTAAACTACTATTCCTAAACTGCTGAAATTCTATGTATTGTCATTTTTGTCAACCAACAAAAAGCCTGCACCCAACATACAGTTTTGTGTAGATGGACAGTTTTCCCCGGTTCAACTAGTTGTAAGTACCCTTAAAGAATGCTTCATTCCCTTAAGAAGGAAGCACAACTAACAAGAGAAAAAAAAAGTTGTAGCCTTAAATCCTTCCTGGAATGAGATAAGCTATAAACAAAGCCACCTGTCACAGTTCCAGCTAAGGACAGACTTAAAAGGCTAAGCAAAAAGAAAAACCAAAAGCCAACAGCATACAGACAGCTATCTATAGAAAGGAACAGCACAAAAGTTAAACACAGCACTACTAGGATCTTACTGCTATGTCAAGGGATATCCAGGTCTTTCTTGGGTTTTAGTTAATTTGCAAAATGGAACACCTCAATCATACTCTTAGCTTTCTTCCTTATCCAGTAAGTCTCACTCACTATAATCCTGAGTTAGAAGAATAAATATTAACTTAATGGTGAATGACATTTGAAAACTGGAATGAGACACAAAAACAAAAGCTAAATTTCATATGAAAATTAGAAATTGGCTAGTGAATATTTCAAATTCTGAAGTTAGGAGGTGAGTGTTTGTCACAGTAGTTAGGGAATCCTTTGAAACAACTACATCCCATATCCAAGAGCCTGGACTGAGTCTCAGCTCTGTTTCCTATTCTGCTTCTAATGTACATCTTGGGAGGCAGCAGGTGATGGCTCCAGTACTTGCAATTCCTGCCATGGATGGGGAGCCCAGACTGAGTTCCAGGCTCCTGGCTTCAGCCTTGCCCATCTCTCTCTGTTCCTAGCATTTAGGAAGTTAATCAGCAATGGAAAAACTGTCTGTGTCTCCATCTTTGTCTTGTCTGCCTTTCAAATAAATGAAAATATTCTTTCAAAAATTCTATATTGATTACTGAGATTATGAGTTGGACAAAAGCCAAAGGCTTTAAGCAGTATGAAAGGTAAGCTGATAAATGGATAATAATTATCCTCAGCTAGGATACAGGCACTACCCCATTCAAAAGACAGCAAGTATGGCTTGACAGCTCAAGTGACAGTATGGATAAAGACATGGCAGTTTGTAACATATAGTTTGAATCACAGAGGCAATGAAACCATTGAGATCTACCAATCAAAGCACTGAGTTTATAAACTCAAAACTCCTAACAAATGAGTAAATTTCTAAAACCAAATCATTTCTTTGTGTGCATAAAGCAGTTCATAATACCTTGTGAAAATAATTTTTACAACAATAAGCTCTAAAACATGAAAATAAAAATTCAAAAGTAATCTTCTAATGCAGCAAGAAATAGAGTCATTTAGAATCAAAGAAAAAGCGGCTGGTGCTTCAGTGTAGCAAGTAAAGCTGCCGCCTGCAGTGCTAGCATCCCATATGGGTGTCAGTTTGAGACCCAGCTGCTCCACTTCCAATCCAGATGTCTACTATGGCCTGGGAAAGCAGCAGATACAATGACTTTGAACAGCCTTTGTCTGGACTGTTGAACAGTTTGGTTTTTTTTTTTTTTCATACAATTTGTATGTGTATAAAGTTAACTGAAAATAGATCTTAGTAAAAACTAAGAATGGGAATAGGAGAGGGAGGAAGAAGAGGGGTGGGAGTGTGGGTGGGAGGGTGGGTACGGTGGGAGGAATCACTATATTCCTAAAGTTGTATTTATGAAAAGAACAAAGTTTGTATTCCTTAAATAAAATGTTTCTGGGGAAAAAAAAGTACAGGTACAAATATACACACACACACACAGAGAAAGAGAGAGAGAGAGAAACAAATCCAAAAATAAATCCACAAAAAATATGCCCAAATGATTTTTGACAAAGATGCCAAAGTGATTCAGTGGAGGAAAGAGCATTTCCAGCAAATGGTGCTGGAGTGACTGGGCATCCACAGGCAAAGGAAGGACGGGGGTGGGGAGGAGGAGAGGGAAGGACAGAGCGAGGGAGGAAGGGAAGAAACTCATCCTAAGCTTCAAACTCCATACAAATATCACCTGAAAATGAGTCATGAACATAAAGTATAAAACAGAAAACCATGAATTGTTTACTAAACATCAACTTGTAAACCTTTAAATATATATAATCTTTATTTGTTGGCTATATCTCAATACGGCCAGGAAAAAAACTTTTGGAAAGAGCACAGTCTCAGAAAGTATTTGAGGCAAAGGGCAATAAGGATAGGCCAAGAGTTGTTAGACTTGACATAAAAGCAAAATCAATAAAAGAAAAATTTGATATGCTGGACCACAACAAAGTTTAAAATTTTTCCTCTGAAAGAGCCTGAAAGGAGGACGACAGGACAAACTAGAGACTAAGAAAAAATATTTGTAAGCCACATACCTGACAAAAGACTTTAATATCAAGACTATATAAAGAACTCTCAACAACAAAAAATGCACAAATAATCCATGCAGAAAATGAAGCATAAAACATGAACAGAATGAACAGTTCTACAGATAGTGACTAAGTATATTTAAGATGCTCAATATCATTAGCCATTGCAAATATGTGAATTAAAACCACAAAGAGGGGCCGGCACTGTGGTGCAGCAGGTAAAACCGTCGCCCGCAGTGCTGGCATCCCATGTGGGTGTCAGTTTGAGTCCCGGCTGCTCTACTTCCAATCCAGCTCTCTTCTACAGGTTGAGAAAGCAGTAGATGACAGCTCAAGTTCTGGGCCCCTGCACTCGTGTGAGAGACCAGGAAGAAGCTCCTGGTTCCTGGATTTGGATCGGCACAGCTCTGTCCATTGCACGCATTTGGGGCGTGAACCAGCAGACAGAAGATCTTTCTCTCTCTGCCTCTGCCTCTCTGTAACTGTCTCTCAAATAAATAAATCTTAAAAAACATAAAATTAAAATAGGGGATATATGATCCTTTATGTAACTGTCTTCAAGTTGCATGTCCACCTACAATGAATTCAAAATAAAATTTTTGAAACCTTTTTAAAGTTTAATGTGAAAAAAAACCTGATGATACTATACAATTATGTGAAAGACTTATCATTACAGATGCTCTCAGGAGAGAATTCATATAATTTATCTTGATCTATAACTCTGAATCCACAGAGTTATGAATACATGCCATGTTATCTTCATTCTCTTCTTTCCCCCACCATTTGTCAACAGCCTTCACAATTGGCTGTAAGACAGAAATGCTGGGGCTGGCACTGTGGCACAGTGGGTTAAGCCATTTGCAATGCCGGCATCCCATATCATTGTGCAGGTTCGAGTCCCAGTTGCCCTGCTTCTAATCCTACTCTACTGAAGTGCCTTGGAAAGCAGTGGAAGATGGCCCAAGTACTTGGGCTTTTGCTACCCATGTGGATGACACTGATGGGAGTTCCAGGCTCACAGCTTCAGCCTAGCCAGTCCTGGCCTTTGTGGCTATCTGGAAAGTAAATCAGTGGATAGAAGATCCCTATCTCCCTCTTTCTCTATGTCACTCTGCCTTTCAAATAATTAAAGTAAGCTTTAAAAAAAAAAGGTAGAAATATAGTACATAAGTACGTAGATGTGTGTTTGCACTTGCAATTTCATGTTCTCCCTGTTTTACGCACATCCAGTTATATATCATACTGATTAATTAGGAGTGCAAGTCCTGGCTCTTCTGCTTCAGATCTAGCGTCTTACTAATATATACTCTGGAAGGCAGCAGATGATGGCTCCAGTACCTGGGTCTCTGCAACCCACACAAGAATTGGACTGAGACATAGGACTCCAAGCTTTGGCCTGGCCCAGCTCTGTCTGTTGGCAGGCATTTGGGAAGTAAACAAGTGGATGAGGATTCTGTCTCTGTCCCTCTGCCTTTCAAACAAAGTGAAAATAAATTTAAAAATGAAAAAAATCCACCTAATTAATATACTCTAGAACCCTAATTTATACATCAGAGTTTCCTTTGCTCAAAGAGTTTCCACAGGAGGCATTATTCTCATATTTTTTTTCCTACATCTGCTTTCCAAATTACTTGTCAATTCTAAGCAAAAAACTTGATTCAGGGCTTCTGTTTCAAACATATATAGCAGAAGACATATAATACACGTTCCCTGAATAAACTTTTTTCCTCTAACTCTATACAAGAAATATTTTTAAAAATATCTGCTGGTAACCAGTGCTGAGGCGTTTGTGGGTAAAGCTACCACCTGCAGTGCCAACATCCCACGTGGATGCCGGTTTGAGTTCCAGCTGCTCCACTTCTGATCCAGCTCTCTGCTATGGCCTGGGAAACCAGCAGAAGATAGCCCAAGTCCTTGGGCCCCTGCACCCAAGTTGGAGACAAGGAATAAGCCCCTGGCTTCAGATCGGCCCAGCTCCGGCCATTGTAGCCACTTGGGGAATGAACCAGAAGATGGAAGACACCACTTTCTTTCTACCTCTGCCTCTCTGTAACTCTGCCTTTCAAATATATATATAGACCTTTAAAAAAAAAAAACAAGATATGCTATATTCTCAGACTAGTTACTCAATATTCTCCCATCTACCCTCCCACTGGTTCTTATTTTGAGGAGTAGGGGCACATCCTGCCCCAAAAGATGTACTGTAATTAGTCTTTCACAGAGTGTACAAAGAAATAAAATAAGAAAGCCTCATTCACATGGCCTTGGCCTCAAAACTTCAGTTTTATATACCATGGCTATTATAGCATCATTTTCAACTTTAAAGAAACAAACAGATTAAAAATAGAATATTTTCCCAAAATGACCAAGATCCATTAAGTTAAATACTCATCCATCAACCTGTGGATCTGTAACAGCCACAGTCTTTCCCATCTTGCTCTTAAATACATGATCTTAAATATCCCCTAATCTCTTAGTCAGAAAGATAACATTACTAAGTTTTCATTTCTAAGCAAATGCCAAACTTCAATAAGTGGCTTAATAAACAAAGCATTTCAAATGTCCAATGAGAAACACCCCAACAGCACCAGCAGAAGCTGTACAAATTTTACCTTAATTCTTCTCTCAGTGTCATCTAATTTTAACTCTGCTGAAACTAGTTTCTTTGACAAATCATCTCGTTCAGGTAGATGTCTAGCTTCAGAGATCTTTTTCAGTTTCTCTAAGGAAAATTTTGTCCTAACTAGTTCACCTTCTGTATCTTTCATTCTCTTCTCAGTTGCCCGTTCTTTCTCCTGAGACTTTCTTAAGCGTTCTTTGAGTGATGTAATTTCATTGTTATGACGAACTATAAGTTGTGAGATTTCATTTTCTGTATCTTCAAACTTATTCAGGGCTTTCTCTTGTCTGTACTGAAGCCTTTTTAAAGTCTTATTTTCTTTCAGCAGTTCGGTTAACTTGACCTGAAGTTCAGATATTTCATTCTGCAACTCATTGATTTTTAGCAGTCTGTTAGAAAGTATCCGTTTTGTAACAAGATCGGGATCTTTCCGAACTGGCTCTCTATTGAGGCTCTGAGAACGAAATCCTACTCGGACTCCCTTTCTGTTTGGTACACCCTTAGGGCTTCGTTTCATAGGGGCTGAAAAAGAAATAGTAATAACGTAAAGTAAAAGCTGTACATAATATAGTATTATTTATGCCAATGCAAGAGGGCTTACAATATTCTTCACTTTTGGCCTTAAAAAAGGATTTTATAATTCTTGAATATTAGGTTTTATTTAACATTCTTACTATGAGTTTACTAAGAAAGGTTAGTAATCTGTTAAGAAAAATCAAGAATATTCTGATCCATCAAAAATGATATCCCAACAGTATATATGGATTATCTTACATTGCTTTTTTTTTTTTTTTTTTTTTTTTTTTTTTTTGACAGGCAGAGTGGACAGTGAGAGAGAGAGAGACAGAGAGAGAAAGGTCTTCCTTTGCTGTTGGTTCACCCTCCAATGGCCGCCGCGGCCGGTGCACCGTGTTGATCCAAAAGCAGGAGCCAGGTGCTTCTCCTGGTCTCCCATGGCGTGCAGGGCCCAAGCACTTGGGCCATCCTCCACTGCACTCCCTGGCCACAGCAGAGAGCTGGCCTGGAAGAGGGGCAACCGGGACAGAATCCGGCGCCCCGACCGGGACTAGAACCCAGTGTACCGGCGCCGCAAGGCGGAGGATTAGCCTAGTGAGCCGAAGCGCCGGCCCTTACATTGCTTTAAAAGATAGTAAGATAAGCCTTTAGCCATTTTTAACTTAATAAGATAGCAAGTCAGAATTCAAATTTGGGCATCAACGGCATTATCATGGTGCACAACATATATGGCACAAAACATTGTAATACTGGAGTCATGTGTGCCGATATATTTTAGAACACTTTTTGGAAACATGAAAATGTATATTTCCTTTAAGCTAATTACAACTCTTTTTCTTTATTCCAGGAAACAAATAACAGTGTATTGTACTGTGACAAGACTTGGAACTCAGAATTACAACTTATTATTCCTTGGGCAATTCAACTAAATCTTTCCACATCTATTTTCCCAATCCATAGTACAAGGATAACGCTGCCTACATAACTGGGCTGTTAAGAAAGTTAAATGAATTATGTACGAAAAAGAAAAACTTCTGGCTGGCGCCACAGCTCATTTGGCTAATCCTCCACCTGTGGCACCAGCACCCCGGTTCTAGTCCCAGTTGCTCCTCTTTCAGTCCAGCTCTCTGCTGTGGCCTGGGAGGGCAGTGGAGGATGGCCCAAGTGCTTGGGCCCTGCACCCGCATGGGAGACCAGAAGGAAGCTTCTGGCTCCTGGCTTCGGATCGGCGCATAGCAGCCACTTGGGGAGTGAACCAACGGAAGAAAAACCTTCCTCTCTGTCTCTCTAACTCTGCCTGTCAAAAGAAAAAAAGAAAAACTTCTACAAGTTTCTGTTAGTAATAAGAACTCACAACCCATTTATCAGTGACTGAATAGAAAAAGCAGTACAGTTGTATTTCTACAGACTTTCTCAGGGGATTTCTTTTGTGTAATGTTCAAGTAATAAATATCTGATATAAATTGAGAGCAAGATAAAAAATCACATCTTTAAATGATAAGCATATGAAATCTTTAAAGTACATATATATTTCTCAAAAATTTGTTTTTACTTTTACCAAAAATTCATCAAACTTAAGTTCAATATTCGAATATTCACTCTTTAAAAGCAGCACCTGAAAGACTGCCAGTTTATAATAATGAATTTTAATTTACAAGGTGTCTGCACTTTTTTAAAGAAGGAAATGCATTCCAGAGTTTAAAAAAATTATGAGGAAAGGTATCTCACTCGCAGAGATCTTTCATTTAGGTGTTTGTTTGTTTGTTTGTTTTTGCCAGAGAGTCTTGGCTTTCCATGCCTAAAATACTCTCATAGGCTCTTCAGTCAGATCCGAATGCCTTAAGGGCTGATTCTGAGGCCAGAGTGCTGTTTAGGACATCTGCCATTCTATGAGTCTGCTGCATATCCCGCTTCCCATGTTGGATCGTTCTCTCCCTTTTTTTAACTTCCACTTTGACTATCACCTTGCCTAAATATGATCAGAGTCGGTGAACTCAAAAGGCTTCCATAGCCTTGGCAACTCATGACAAGAGCCTAGGGAGATTACTAACGCCATAAATGAGAGTGTCAATCTGTTAAGTCAACAACAGCAGTCACTGTGTACTTACTCCTCGTGTAGGATCTCTGTCCTTAACGTGTTGTTCAGTATGAATTAATGCTATAACTAGTACTCAAACAGTATTTTATACTTTATGTTCTGTGTGGGTGCAAACTGTCAAAATCTTTACTTAATTTATACTAAATTGATCTTCTGTATATAAAGATAATTGAAAATGAATCTTGATGTGAATGGAATGGGAGAGGGAGTGGGAGTTGGGAGGGTTGCTGGTGGGAGGGAAGTTATGGGGGGGAAAAGCCATTGTAATCCATAAGCTATACTTTGGAAATTTACATTTACTAAATAAAAGTTTAAAAAAAATTATGAGGAAAAACTAGAAGATCCAACCTTTCCTGCTCCATTTTGCCAGCCATGGATACTTGATTCTATTATGTAAACTAGTAAAGGACATGTAATTTTTACAATTTAACCAAATAAAGTATCATTAAAAAATGGAAGATTTTCTGGAAAACTATTTTTAATGTGTACAGACTCAGAATTCCAGCTCTATGAATGCCTGAATTCATGAAAAAAGTGGTAATTAAAAGAAATGAGGGAATACCTAATTGGCTCTTTGAAACTATACTCTCTAATATGGAAGCCACTAACTACATGTGGCTACCGCAAAATTTGAAATGAGCATAATCCAAATTGAGATATGTTATAACTGGGAGATACAAATAGAATGTTGAACACTTATAAAAAAAAATTGGTGGAAGGATACATTGGGTGTTTAGTGCTTAAGACACCAGTTAAGATAATCACATATCCAGCTCTGGCTCCTGACTTTAGCATCCTGCTAATGCAGACCTTGGGAAGCTGTGGTGATGACTCAAGTTAACTGGCTTCCTGTGTGTCACACAGGAGACCTGAATTATGTGCCAACTCCCAGTTTTGGCCTCTGTCTGGGACCACGGCAGGCATTTGGGGAATGAATCAGCAGATGCAAGCCCTTTCTTTCAAATAAATAAAATTGTTTAAAAATGCAAAAGGCTTTCATAATGCTTTTTACTAAATGCATAAATGATAATAAACAGGGTCTTCAAAAAGTTCATGGAAAAATGTATTATGAAAAACTATGCCCAGATTTCAAAAAAAATTTACATCAAAATAAATTTATCTTTTAATTCCATCTTTCCATAAACTTTCTGGGTACTCTAGTATTTGAATATGTTGGGTTAAATAAAGTATATTACTATAACCAATTTCACGTTTCTTTTTGTAACATGATTAGAAAATACAAAATTACATGTGTGGCTTGCACTTGCGATTTGAATTAGATTTCTACTGCCCAGCATTTCTTTAATTTCAAATTTGAAGTATCTATCATTTCAATTTTCTTTCTTTCCTAACATACTGAATTAACAGAATTTTGTTATGTATGCTACACTGGTATGTATATTTAGGTTTTGAAATGACAGAAAACTGTATATAAAAATGATTTAGATATCAATTGTGCCAAATTTCTGATGTTTATGTGTAAAAACAAGATTTCAGATAAATGCTCACTTGGCATATTTGAAAAGTTAAGCTTAAATAAGAATCTTGATAAATTTTTTCACTAATGTTTATTTCAATTATCTCATCGAATACAAATGGGCTTCCACAACCAACTTTTTGACATTTAAAAAATTTTGAGCATTTATTTTTAGCATTTCTTAATTTGACTACAAAATGTTCAGTAAACTGAGTTCAAAAATATTTCCCAGCTTTCAGTTATATTTTATATTTTAAATAGATTTTATATTTTTAATAGTTGCTTTTTAAACTATTGAGATGAAAATACAGGTGCCAACTGGAATGAGAAGAATTAAGATAATCTGATACTGGATAAGACATTTTCATCTCCTACTTAACACCAAAAATATGACTCATTTTAAAAAGCAGTAAAAATAAACTATGCATCTATCAAAAAAATCAAGGTAAAGTTAGATTACTAGTAAAATAAGAAAAGGAGTAAGATACACAAATAGGTATAACTGAAACTGTTACTGAATTTTATCATTATACATGCATATTCTGATAGAACACCAATTTTATTTTTTTTTAATGTTAACAATTCAAAAGGAAGAATAGGCCATCAAACATGCAAATCCACAAATTTGAGTGTTTAAGATGCTGTTTCATTCACATTTTTTTTTTTCTGTGTTTTAGTCTATACTGGTGATTGCAAATTAACTTGGTATTTAAGGAAAGGTATCAGTTCCTTCCTGTTCTTTGGTCTAAAATAGACAAATTATCACATATTTTAATTCAAAACACAGTGCAAAGCAGAACAGTACAAGCTAGTGTAAAGACAATTACTGAAATTTTCTGGTTGATGATGATAGTGTTTTGCACAACTTCTCAATTCTCTTCTCAAATAAGGTAAGCTTTACGAAGTTCTGACTCCCTAACTAAGTGGCCTCCTAAGTTGCTTCCGGAAAACAGGAAAAACTAAAGTGATCCTTATCAATAATACCCTAGGTATACAAGTATAAATGTTTGGTATGGGCTTTACAGTACTTTAGAAACATTAAGACAAGCATTTATTTAGGAAGAAGAGAAAATAAAGCCTTAACTCTGTTACCTTCTTCTATATATTGTATGACTTTGAATATAACAAATGGTAACACTGCACCATAAGCAACACATATATATTTATACAAATATCCTATTCAAAATGCAAGTCAGCCTGCTTTCATGTATGTAATAATCAGTATAACAGTTTCACACACACATATTTTCCTTACATACTCAAGATGAGTCTTGTATGTCCACTGGATTCTTTTAGAGAATACATACCTTGTTGATGCACTTGGCTATCTGAAATCTGTCTTTTAGGACTCTTCCCCCTAATGCTCGCAGGTGAAGAAGCATTGACTGGTGATGACTGGCAAGAAGACTGTGGTGTAGTTCCAAAATCAGATGAATAATAGGAGGAATGGTGTTTGCCTGCCTTTCTTTCTTGATCAGTATCTGGACTTCCTGCTCTTTCCCCCATTCTTTTGAAAAATGGTCTCTATTAACATATCACAAATTCCCAACAATGAAGAGCATTTTCACAGTCTTCTCCACGGCATGTCTGTAGTCTGCAATTCACATTAACAGAAGATAAGCTTTATTCCCTACAATTAAGGAAGGGGAAGCAAGATTATCATATAGTCATGAAAACAGAGTTCTACAGTTAATTACAATTAAAAATACTAAAAGCAAAATATATAGCTTACTTTTTTATTTTTGTCTGTTTATTTTCATTTTATTTGAAATGCAAAGAGACAGAAATCTTCCTTCTGCTAGTTCACCCCCCACCTATCTGCAACAGCTCAAAGCCAGGAAGCAACTATTTCCTGGAAAGCAGTGGAAGATGTTCCAAGTGCTTAGGCCCCTGTGTGCCTGGCCCAGCCCTGGTAATTGCACTCATTTGGGGAGTAAACCAGTAGATGGAGAATCAATCAATCAATCTCTCTCCCCCTTCCCCTCTCCCTGTGTGTGTGTGTGTGTGTGTCTCTCCCCCATGACTCTGCCTTTCAGATAAATCTAAAGAAAAAAAGAAGCACAATAAACACAAACGGTGAATTTGAAAAGGACAATAATGATCAAACTGTCAGTTTTTTTAATCTAGCTTTTTTTTCTTTGGTGAAGGATAGAGGTGGTGGTGGTGATAAAGAACCTGCTAACAAAAACCAAAAAAGCTAAGATCCACTACAAAAATATACAACTGAAGTATATTTTAAAAAATTAAAAGAAAAACATCTGATGACACACAGTTGTAAACATGACAGAAAATGGTTACAATTTTTAACACATAAATACTTATAAGGAAAATATGAAGTTAAAAGTTAATGGGATAGATACATAGTAACTTCCCAAACAGGCAATTCAAATTACACATAAAATTATTCAACCTCAAGCTATCAAATGATCAAAACAATATTTTTCAAAACAGTATTAGCCAATGCTACCAGAGCTGCTATCAGTTAAAGATCCATAGTTTCTTAGGGGAAAAAAAAAGTTGTAAGATACATGAAGAGTTCAATTATAGTTTTAACCTTTGATCCAATACATTCATTTCTGAATTCCAAGAAAATGACAACAGGGGGGAAATCACACACACATACTTAACCAGCAAAGTGCAATTTAAAAAAAAAAACAACAACAACAACAAATGAAAGCAATTTAAATGTCCAATCATTAACAAATTAAGAAAAGTATCACGGGGCAGGCATCAAATTCAGTGATGCCTACATCCCGTATTGGATTGCCTGGGTTTCAGTCCCAGTAGTTTCCAATTCAAACTTCCTACTAATGTGCACCATGAGAGGCAGCAGGCAGTGACCCAAAAAGCTGGGTCCCCACCATTCACACAGGAGATCTGATTGAGTCCCCAGCTCCCAGATTCAGCCTGGTCAAGCGCAGGGCTTTGGCACATTTAGGGAGTGAAGCAATGGATAGGAGCTTTCTTTTCTCTTTTCTCTCCTTCCTCCCTCCTACCCTTCCTCCTTTCCTTCTTCTAACTTAAAAACAAAAAAAGAACAATAAAAATCATAAAAAGCACAGTATCACAAATTGCTGGAACTGTTTACAAAAATGTCTGTGTTCGGGGCCAGTGCCATGGCTCACTTGGCTAATGCTTCACCTGCGGCGCCCGCATCCTATATGGGCGCTGGGTTCTAGTTCCAGTTGCTTCTCTTCCAGTCCAGCTCTCTGCTGTGGCCTGAGAGGGCAGTGGAGGATGGCCCAAGTGCTTGGGCGTCTGCACCCAGGTGGGAGACCAAGAGGAAGCAACTGGCTCCTGGCTTTGTGTTGGCGCAGCGCTGGCCATAGCAGCCATTTGGGGGGTGAACCAACGGAAGGAAGACCTTTCTCTCTGTCTCTCTCTCTCACTGGCTAACTCTATCTGTCAAATAAAAAAAAAAGTCTGTGTTCAAGGAAAATATTTAGGCTACTTGGTAAAGAAAAAATTCAAATTAGTACATACAGTATCTTCTCAACAATAAATATTCATTGAACAACTACTGAATTATTGAATATTCTTCCTTTCTGATCTCAGGATCTGAAAAAAATTGGAAAGCAAGGCATACATGAACACCAAAATAATGTCTGCCTGAGTCTAGCTAAGGCACACTCAGGAGACAGTGGTGACAGCTCAACTAAGTGGGCTCCTGCCACCCACATAAGAGATCTGGATTGTGTTCTCAGCCCCCATTCTCTAGCAGATTGGCGTTCCCTCTGTATCTATTTTTTTTTTAATTTTCTGCCTTTTTAGGAGTTTACATTCCAGTTATGCTCATCTGACTCTCATTCCTTTACAGGTTATCTGTTTTTCCCCTTTTCTTCCACCCTAAGAGCTTTTAAGATGTCCCCTCCTGTTATTGTGAAATTTCACAGTATGAATAGGTCATGGGTCTTTATTATTGCATTGGGCTCATTCCGCCCATCCTCCTCTTACCCAACTCCCTCTGCCTCCACACACGTACTTTTTTTTTTTTTGACTTTCATTTAGTAAATATAAATTTCCAAAGTACAGTTTATGGATTACAATGGCTTTCCCCCCCCATAACTTCGCTCCCACCCGTCACATATTTATTACAATCTGGAAAGTTGTATCCTTTTGCACTAGAGATTTTCTTCTATTACTTTTCTGATAATTGATCTCCATTTTCTCTTTTAGAAACTTTCACTGGTCAAATTACAGTCCAGCTCTTCTTTGTTGCTGTTCTATTTTCAATGATTTATTCAATCTTTATTCTACACTATAATTTATAAAAAAATTATGCCAACATATTCATTTCCCAGAACTCTTTCTCGCTCTGATTTCTAAAATAATTATTCTGTTCCTGCTTTATTGAGGCAATATATTTTCATTTATCTTGAGAATATGAGACATCTGTTTAAAGTCTCTTCTGATTGAAAAATTTGTTTCACATGATGTTAGGTTTTTTTGCTTTATACATTGCTAATTTTATTTTTTGAAGATAATATTTGGTTGACCATGAATAATTTTAAAAGAATATTATTGGAAATCCTTTACATTTGAGTAAAGCTTCCTGACAGGCAAGGCACTTTAGTATGAAAAGCACAGAATCAGTCATTAGGCTCATACAGAGGACTCCCTAAAAGCTAAAATGAAGAAGGCTTATTTCCAGATACAAAAGTCCAGCATGGCAATGTTATTTTTCCTTTAGTGTTGTCTTTATTTTCAGAAGAAATAATCTCTTTATTTTGATGGAAAAAGAAGGAAAGAATTAAGAGGCAGGGAGTGTTAACAGTCACTGGCCACAAGCTTGGGTGGGAAGGGAGGTACAACTATTCCATAGATAGTTTTTCAATTATTCTTCTTTCCCAACCATTTTCAACCACCTTTTTTCCTCCAATCTTTTTAAATCACCAGATTCTCTGAGAGTCTATTGCATACATCTGAATCTTCTTTTGCTGCAGATCCTTTGAATAGTTTGGAGTTTTCCTTTATCTTAATCTGTTTTTATCCATTGTCATTATTTCGCCTCTTTCAGAAACACCGCCATCTTTAATCTGCTGAGTTACCCCTTCAATGTTACAGGTTAACTCTCTTTTCTCTTATTTTTCTTTAGTATTATTTTAATGTTGTCTCCAATAGGAGGATACAAACATATATAATCATAGCTATGTCTTTAACAATAAATATATGTCATTTTAAATATAAGCTAATTATTTCTAACAATTATTCTCACCTTTTTAGACAACTTGGTAAAAACAATTTCCCCAAATCCATGAAGCTACTATTTATGCAATCAACAAAAATTATTGAATATCCACATGCCATCTTAAGACAATGAGGAGACCAAGAAGAGCAAGGATATACTACGGGTTCTTTTGTTTGTTTGTTTGTTTTTTGACAGGCAGAGTGGACAGTGAGAGAGACAGAGAGAAAGGTCTTCCTTTTGCCGTTGGTTCACCCTCCAATGGCCGCTGCGGCCGGCGCGCTGCAGCCGGCGCACCGCGCTGATCCGATGGCAGGAGCCAGGTGCTTCTCCTGGTCTCCCATGGGGTGCAGGGCCCAAGCACTTGGGCCATCCTCCACTGCCTTCCAGGGCCACAACAGAGAGCTAGCTTGGAAGAGGGACAACCGGGACAGAATCCGGCGCCCCGACCGGGACTAGAACCCGGTGTGCCGGCGCCGCTAGGTGGAGGATTAGCCTATTGAGCCGCAGCGCCGGCCAACTACGGGTTCTTTTAAGTTAGGATCTGCTTCTTCCATGGAAAAGATAAAATTTAAAAATAAAAAACCACAGCACATGATGTACATATGTTTTACGTTCCCGCAAAATAGTTCTATGAGAATTCTTCAAAAAGTTCATAAAAATATAATTAAAAGATTATTTTGGTGCAAAAATTTTTTGAAACTTGTGCAGTGTTTTCATAATATCCACTTTTCATGAACTTTCTTTTTTATTTTTATTTATTTATTTTCATCTTATTTGAAATACAAAGACACAGAGATATTTCTTGCATCCACTGGATCATTCCCCAAATGTCTCCAACAGCACAGGACAGGCCAGGCCAAAGCCAAAAGCCCAGAACTCAATCTGGGTCTCCTAAATTGGTGTCAGTAATACAAGTACTTGAGACATCTGCTGCTGGTAGCCAGAGTACACACTAGCAAAAAGCTGAAGCAGAAGCAGAAAAGCTGGGACTCAAATCAGGCCCTCCGATGTGAGATGCAGGCATCCCATGCGCTGTCTTAACTGCTGCACCATGTGCATACCCTGCATGAACTTTCAGAAGAACCCTCTCACTAATACATGAAAATACCCTCTTAATAGTGATAACAAACTCAAGCATAGCCCCAAGAACTCCTGAGAATATTTTCTTATTTTTGCCAAACTTATTATTTAGGTTCTATTTTGAAATAAGGTAGATTACTTCTAATGTTTAATGTACGTGCACTGTATCAAACTATGCTAAAATTGTTCACAGTATCTAATAAGACAAGTATTTCTTAGAAAATACAGCACCCCAAATAGCTAATATAGAAAAGAGAATGGAAATTTAGACACATGAGAAAATTCATTCTTTTTTGATTTATTTATTTATTTGAAAGTCAGAGTTACAGAGAGGCAGAGGCAGAGAGGGGTCTTCCATGCAC